CAACACTTAATTACATACCAATCACTCACTCTCACAAAGAGAGGGGTTGGGAGAGTCTCATAAAGGCTCTACCATAGGTTGGTTAGCAGGTGATGATCTATTTGGTTGAACTAATTTGGGACGTGTTGGTGATCGATGTGCCCAAGAGGCAATCATATGCGTCATGGATTGGATCTATACGTGGGCTAAAACAGGACATTGATCCATGAGAGTTTTAATAAGCCTCTAGGGTAGAAGTCTATTCGTGGAGTCTATATATATATGACGAGGCAGAGGCAGTAGAGGCAAGAGAGATGGTTCGACCTTTTCCCAACACCGGCCCTGCTTCGCTTTGCTGAAAAGCCATGGCTGAAAGTACTGTTTCGCTGATTTGTTGTGAGAGAAAAACAATATTTGTTCGCTGAAATAGTACGGCTCATAAGACAAGCGGACAGGGCCAGACTATCTGCCCCTTCCCCTCTCTCTCCCCTTCCGATGAAACCCGAGCCATGCGCGGTGGTAGCACATCGGTGCATCGATGTTCCATCTCCACACGTGTCGATACTATTAAGACTCTGCTGCGATGTGCACGATGTTGGACCTAGCTGCTCCAACTCTTCTGCACGACACGTCAAGTGGCGCGTCATATCTAGGTTGAACACGATATATTTGTTTGTGCTGGTGCGTCACAAAAGGTTCCTCCCGCCGGTTCAACCACATATCTTGTCTTATATGTATAAATGCCATAATTCTTATTGCTTCAAGCGGAGCTCTTTTCGACCGCGTTCTGAATTTCTCTATATAAAGGTGTTTGGTTCAGTGAGCTAGTGGTAACACACAAATGGAGATGAGTTAATACGTACTGTAATCGGAGCTAGGATACTGACCGCGATCTGTGTTAATTTGGAATTGGAAGAATCAGATAAAGTTGATTACAGACAGTAGGAAGCAAACAGATGTAACGGTAATATAGAGAAATTAGAAGAATCAGATAAAGTTAATGCATACCTGAGGTTGTGTTACATTTTGGAGCGAGAACCAAACAGTACCCAGTTCAAGGCTGAATATTCTGAGCTAGTCATTATAGGATAATTTATTTATTGTTGGAGTTGAGAGAGGTCGTCACCTCCCTCCAACTCCAATGGTATGTGTAGAGTCGTAGTTACTACTCTAACATGAAACTCTTTATGAGCTTCCTTCCATCGAGCTTCGCAGTGAAGTATTGCTTCAAGAAATCTTGGTAACTGGTTGTTCCGTACCGCACTCTGTCGCCTTTCTTCACCAACTCCGGCAGAGGACCAAGCATCCGATCCTGGTCGGGGAAGTGGAACAGTGCCGCCGAAATCCGCTCCTTGGTTGGGTGTATCACGGCCCTATGCTCAACACTTTTGAACGCGCCGTTGCTCACGATCTGCAAGCAAGGGTAGGCCTCTAGGCCATAGCAAAATGAATCTCCCTGCGCTAGCTACCAGGCAGCGGATCGGGACGAGAACGACCAGCAAGTACGTCGTACCTCGAGCGCGTCACCGACGTTGACAACGAAGGCGCCGTCTAGCGCTTGCACAGGGAACCACCTGCCGTCCTTGCCGACCTGCAGCCCCTGCACGTCGTGGTTCATCTGCAGCAGCAGCGTCAGGACGTTGGGGTCGGTGTGGGGCGACAGGCCCAGCACCCGGTCCGCCGCCTGCCGGCACGGCGGGTAGTAGTTCGCCCGCATGCCCCGTACCTGCCCTTGGAACACGCCTCGCAGCGACGCCGGGTCGGCCCCCACGCCCTTGGCCATGAACTCCAGCAGGTGGTACGCTAGCTTCGAAGCTTCCGAGGAATACGAGTCAACGGAATCCCTGGAATCGATTCAGGTAAGGCTACGGTTTAAAAGGAAATTTATTCAGGTATAATTTATCGTTGGATGGATGCATCAGACGAGATGATCACCTGAAGGATGCAGGGCGTGTAGGCCAGAAGCGCATGTCCCTGGACTCCCTCGGCTGAACAATGAGGTAGAGCATGTCTGCCCAGTCCAGCTTCTGATCCTCAGACACGACGAACGCCTGGCCGTAGCCTTCAAGGCTATCAGCTTGCTGTGCGCATTCCTTCTTGGCTTCCAGCGGCTGCTTGAAGAACCCGACTACGTCCTTCATCAGATTTGCAATCACCTCGTCCGGAACTCCATGGTTGATGAGCTGCACTGCATGCACCTCATCGATCAATATATATGCCTCATGCATGCATGGTTCATAACATAAGCAGCACATGTGGTACGTACCTGGAAGAACCCCCAGTGGTGGCATGCGGATCCCAGCCTGGCGCACTCCTCCTCCGATGACTCCGGATCAAGCAGCTTACGGAAATCGATGACCGGAATTGCGTGAGAGCTATCGTCCGCAGCGACGACCTCCTCCGCGCTAGGATCCTTGCTGAGGTATCTCCGGGGCACCGGCTCAGCAACTCCGTTATTGCAAGTCTCCGCAAGCGCCTGCACGTTAGCCACCGGGAGAGACTCCATGCCTCTTGCTGCGTCCGCCATTGTTATCTCAATTTGGTCCTTCCTAGTTCCTACCCCACACGAGCTCCTCCTCCTGCTGCTGCTGCTCCTCCTCCTCCTTCATTTAGACTTCTTTTCAAGACCTGGTGATGACGTTCATGTATAAATAAATAGATAAATAATGTCTAATCATACAGTGCTTAGCCTCCACGTTTAGCCACCGAGAGAGACCCAATGCTTAGCCTCCACATTTAGACTTCTTTTCAAGACCTGCTGCTGCTCTCGCCAATTTGAGTCACACACTCACACTGATAGTGATATCTTTAATATCATTATTTTCGCCTCCACGTTTAGCCACGCCGAGAGAGACCCAATGCTTAGCCACCGGGACAGACCCAATGCTTCTCTATAGTCTTACATTATGGTACATATGCTGACATATGAAGACATGCATGTCATGCGTACAAAAGAGAAGAATCTTCATGGGGGTCAATAATGTCTAATCATACAGTGATAGATATTATTCACATGCAAGGTGCAGATTTATTAGCCCGTCTCTCTTCTTCAACTGTGCATCGATAGAAATAGAATAGGACCCAGGCCAGGCAACCATGGTTGTTTGCATTGCAACGTGGACTCGCTCGGGCGCGCTCCTTGAGGCACATCAATTATTCAGACGCACGCGCTACAAATGGATGGTTGAGCCTGCATCCGTACCAGGTACAGATGTTCACAGGTCAATTACCAAAATCAGACTTAGGGCTTTTAGTGCCATGGATGGAAGCGGACCCAGCGTCAAGCGTGAGCGCGGGGGCAGGCCACTTGCGTATGGCTGCCTGGCAAATCTTGGCTTGGTCTTGGTGGGAGGTGTCGTCAGTCTTGTACATTTGGCTAGCTATTGTTCTTTGGTGCTTATTTGCCTGATTGTGGTTCATCTTCTTTGTTTTTTGCATGCAAGCTATGATTGATAGCATGGGCAACCAGGGTCTTGCTGGCTACTGCTACTAGCTAGACGATGACATGGCAGCGGAGGTTGCGGCCTGTGGCAGTGGCAGCGTGTTATAAGAGCCTGTTTGGCACAACTCCACCACTGGAAAAGTTGAATCTAGATTTGGGATTCACCTGAATCCACCGTGGAGCAGCTCCACCGTGGATCTGGGATTCACCAAAGTGTTTGGTCTAGCTCTAGCGTTTCTCTCTGTCTCACTTACATCTGGTCCACACATAAATAAGAAAAAAAAGGCACGTTCTTCTTCCTCCCGACGACGCTCATGCTACCAAACAGGCTCGCGCCAACTCCACCAAACTTGGATTTGGTGGAACACCCCTTGAAGTGTTCTACCAATTTGGTGAATCTGAGGCCAGATCCACCCTTTTGGTGGATCAGATCCACGGTGGAGTTGGTGGAGCTAGAAGTGTTTGGCAAAAAAAAGTGGATTTGGATCTAGTTTTGGTGAATCTGGAGCTGGTGAATCTTTGTCGAATAGGCCCTAAGGCGTTGGCGTGTGTCTTTGGTAGTAGGGAGGTTGGCCCACAACAAGCTAGAAACCACCACTCGCTCGAATGCCAAAACACTTGTCTCTTCGAAGATTGAATACTAAGCCAAAATCATTTCCCACCTAAGAAATGGTTTCTTCCCTTTCTCCCCTCTCTTCATTAAGTTTGTTGTCACATCAGCACTTTTGTTCACTTGGCATACTATTTAATGCTATGGAAACTACCTATGGTTTTAGGTTGGGACTGCCCTAAGAGACTATGCATCGAAGTAGTTGTATCTTGCTTAGTTTCATGAGGCATGTCAACTTGATTTGGTGAGAGAGAGAAAAAATACAGATACATGCTGAGCACGAGAAAAACATATGTTGAGAGAGAAAAAAGTACAGATCCACACCAATCACGCTAAGCACAAGATAGGCATTTGTCATAAAGTTCAGCGTCCAACAAGTAATCAGTGTATTATGGTGTATTATGCTTAGCAAATCAGAAGGATAACACATGTGACAAAAGTTTATACTAGTTCAAGTAAATGTGGTACCCTACATTTAGTTGAGAACAACTTCTATAGTGTGTCATACACTCGGGATCGAATGAGGGGATGTTGATAATGTGAAAGTTATGTATAAGAACAAAGACGACCACACGGGCGACCCTACTGCTCCCCATTCTTCACATGAACCAGAGGAAAGCGATGTAGCCACTCGAAATTTGAAACTGCTCTATCTAGGCGCTCCCTTACGTGTGTACTCCCCTTTATTTGTTTATTCCTCCAGGTGAAGACATCGCCCACAAAACCCAGATCATGGAGATCACACCTCTCCAGAGCGCATTTAAATGTATCCATGCAAGCTTGTGGCCTCTAAACACCTCCCTCTTTCTAGAAAACAATCTAGCGCCAAAAGAATAGCACACCGCGCCCGCGCGTCGCTCGCATATTTTCTTTTCAGCGCAAAAAGAAAAAGGCAGGACTATTTTCTTGTACTACTAGTGTCATTGTCGTGGACAAGATTTATTCGTGAGCCATATATAGCTACTAGCGCTAGTCCAACTTTAGTCCCTCCAAGTGCTTCCTTCCGTCAAGCTTTGCTGCGTAGACTTGCTTCAAGAAATCCCGGAAACTCATGGACCCATACCGCACTTTCTCGCCTTCCTTTACCAACTCCGGCAGAGGAGCAAGCATCAGATCCTGACTAGGATAGTGGAACAGTGCCACTGAAATCCGCTCTTTGGTTGGGTGTATCACGGCCCTATGCTCAACGCTTCTGAATTTCCCATTGCTCAGGACCTGCAGACGAAGCACACCTCTCCATTTTATATATGCTAGCTTCACCAATAAGAACTTAACGATCTCTTGCAATTAGGGAAATAATCAATTAATTAACGTCAAGCACATCGCCGACGTTGACGACGAAGGCGCCATCGAGAGTGTGGCAGTGTGCACAGGGAACCACTTGCCGTCCTTGACCTGCAGCCCCTGCACGTCGTGGTTCATCTGCAGCAGCAGCGTGAGGCCACACGCGTCGGAGTGTGGCGACAGGCCCAGCACCCGGTCAGCCTGCTTGGACGGCGGGTAGTAGTTCACCCTCATGCCCTAGCTGGGCCTGCCCTTGGAACACGCCTCGCAGCAGCGCCGGATCGGCGCCCACGCCGTTGGCCATGAGCTCCAGCAAGTGGTACGCTAACTCTGGTCGCCGGGGAGAAAGCGTCTATGCAATGCCTGAATAATAATAATGACAAAATCATATATATATATATATATATATATATATATTCTTAGTATTGTATTGGGCAATACTAAGGTACAAACTTTACCTCCAAGGAGGTAATATCTAAAATCAATCTGAGCCATTGATTTTTCACATTTTATGAATTACTTAATAAAATAAAAAATCCTGGAAAACAAAAATAAGACCTCCGCATCCCCCTGATGACGGATTGACAGGAGGGAAATTCCTTTAAAGACATGCATGCTGATGCCCCTAATCACAGGCTAATCACGGGAGATGCTCATGTTACAAACAGTCATCTATAACATGTATAGACACGTTACCTGCACTAACACATGGCTAACACACGTTGCCGGCACTTTAGACCTACACGTTACCTGCACTAACATATGTTACCTGACACGTTAACACGCACTACCGGAATGCCCAGGTTTGCCGTGTGTCCACGGCACACAGAGAAGCCTAAAAAACACTCGGTAAAGCCTTTGCCAAGTGTTACACTCGGCAAACGGCACTCGGCGTACACAGAGTCGGCAAACGTTTCTTTGCCAAGTGTTTTTTTATCGGACACTCAGCAAAGACTTTGCCGAGTACTAAAACCGACATTCAGCAAAGACTTTTCAAAAAATATAAAAAAAACCACCGCCGCCCGCCCGCGGCTCCCCTCGCCGCCGCCGCCGCCACCACCTGTGCAAAATAAGAGGGAGAGGGAGGGAGATGGGGGGGGGGTTAGGACAGGGCCATGGCCGGCCGGCGACGGCACTCGACCTTGCAGCCAGCACTTGGAAGTCCGAGCCGAGCTCACGCGGGGGTGGCTCTCAGAGACGGCAAAGAACGCGGAGGGGTGAGAGGGGGCAGTGCCGGGAGAGGGAGGGGAGGGGGCAGCGCCGGTGGGAGAGGGAGGGGGCGTCGGCGGGAGACAGAGGCGGTAGTAGGGGGCAAAGGCCCGAGAGAGGGAGGAGGAGGGACTACTGGCGCCGGGAGATGGAGGGGTGGCCTGTGGGGAGGGGGCGGTGGCCTAACGAGTTTATAAGGTTGCGAGTTTGTCGAGTGTCGGATTGGAACACTCGGCAAAGCCACATCTTTGCCGAGTGTCAGATAGGGGCACTCGAAAACCCATTGTTTCTAAACACATTTTGTTTTTTCATTTTGAAACCCTAAACTACTGTGCATGTGTGGGGTCGGGTGAGGGGTTTGCCGAGTGTCCCAGTCCTGCACTCGGCAAGCATAGATTTGCCGAAAAGCCGATAATGGGCACTCGGCAAACCTTTTTTTTTTTTCATTTTCCTTCTTCTCCTTGTTTTTCTCGGGGACGTGTTTTTCTCAATTTATTCCGATGTACTTTAAAAATACCTTGTCAAATTGACTCAACAATATATATTTGTTTTTTTCTAGGAATATTATTCCATTATTTTATGCAGTTATAGCTCAAATTTAATTTATATCAATTAAAATTCTATAATTACACTTAATAAATTAAAATTATCAAACGGATCCAAAAAATTACCAAAATTTCACATGAAACAATCTATGTTCTCTATTGCCTATACAAAAAGTTTTACGCCAAACCCCAATTCGACCGTCACTTTGACAATAAATCTTACCGAATCCTTCTCAATGCTACGATTCTTCTTTTGAGATGCTTCGGTTTGTAGACATCGTATGTCACAAATTATACTAAACCTTCTCAATTTTTTACCACAGCCTCCAGGTATGATATCATCACATCATGACAAATCTCATGATTTTCAGACTTGGTTTGCTTTTTTTAGAATTTAAAAACCATTCGGCCACACGTTCGTGGTCGTGTTTCCTGAACAAGATGTTCGAAATTTTTTTACATTTCCTGGGTAAGGCCTCACGCTTGACTCAATAACATGAATATCATTTTTCTACTCATTTTATTCTATTATTTGAATCACTTGCGGTTCAAATTTGACTTATACCAAAAAATTTCTTCATATGCAATGAATTAATTAAATATAGCAAACAGATCCACAAATATACCAAATTTTAACATGGAATACCACATGTCTGTATGTGGAGAGAAGAAAAAGTTTTAAGATCAAAGAGAAAAAAAATGAAACTATTTGTTTGAGTGCAAAATAATTACACTCGGCAAACATATTTCTTTTGTCGAAAGTGCCGATAATTAGACTCGGCAAACATATTTATTGGCCGAAGTGCCTAGTTTTGCCGAGTGTTTTTTAGTTTGCCGAGTGTCGAACTTTGCTGTGTGCAATTATTTTACCGAGTGTTTTTTTTGCAAAGACTTCGGTAAAGAGCTTATTTGCCGAAAGTGCTCGATGGATTGCACTCGGCAAACCCTCTTGCACTCGACTTACCTACTGATTCCAGTAGCGACGCGTTACCTACTCATGTTACCACGCACACACGCATTACATGCTAACTGTCGGTGTTTTGAGTTGCCACCGACAAGTAAATTTCTAATATTACGCGTCTGGCCCGGATAGTGCGCTAAGAGGACACGAGGTTTATACTGGTTCGGGCAGAATATCTCTACGTCCGATTCGTTGTCTTTGCTACTCATGTTAATAGCAATCAAAAGTTCATAGTAGGGGTTACAAACGGTCGAGAGAAGGACATGTCCCAAGTCTCGGTGGTGTGTTGCGATGAGTTCCGATTTGAGTCAAGGCCGCTTTTTTGAGTCGAGTTTGGATCGAGAGTCCCTTTGTAGGATGCTTTGCTTTCCCTTTTATAGGCCAAGGGAGAGCATAGGTTACAGTAGAGGAAGAAAAGAGAACGAGAGGAAGAAGTCCTTTAGGATCGCTAGATCCTTCTGCTCCTTTATATGGGTCCCGTCGACCTCAGAGCGCTAATAGGGACAACTTCGGTCTCGGCCTCGTCCACCATCGGGCGCCATGTGTGTAGGCATCTTCGCCGGTCATGGCGCTCCACTCCGGCCCTGGCAGACGTCAGGGGCGAATCGATGCGCCTGTCGATTGTTCACGACGGGTTTAGGCGAGAACAACACAGGTACGTCCGATGCTGTTCCTGACGTGAACCCTCAGGTATGGCCCGTCATGGGTTGCGGGCTACATCGAGGCATGTCAGTCTCTTCCCTGGCATCAGAGCTTTGACCCAGGCCTATATGCTTGGACCTAGAGTGGTTGACGGCGGTATGGGTCTCTGTCGGGTGAGACCGAGTCTACGACCTCGAGGTCGGGCAAGGCAAGAGCACAAATCCAAGGGTCGTGAGGTGGAGCCCAAACCCAAGAGTCACATGAGAGAGCTAGCCCTTAGAGGTCGGGCGAGGTAGAGCCTGCAGCCTCAGTATCGGGTGAGGCGGAGCCCACACCCAGAGGTCGGGTGAGGTGGTGTCCGCCCTCAGGGGTCGAGCGAGGAGGAGCCCATGGGCTCGGTGTCGGACGAGGCGGAGCCACCCTCAGGGATCGGGCGAGGCAAAGCCTATGGCCTTGGTGTCGGGCAAGGCGGAGCATACCCCTAGAGGTCGAGCGAGGTGGAGTCTGCCCTCGGGGGTCGGGCGAGGCGAGCCCGCGGCCTCGGTCAGGTCGGCGAGGCGGAGCCACCCTCGGGGTCAGCGAGGCGAGCCCAGCATGGCCTCGGTGTCGGGTGAGGCGAGCCACCCCTGGGGGGTTGGGCAAGGTGGAGGCAGCCCTTAGAGGCCAGGGCGAGGCGAAGGTTGCGTGCACTGGGGTCGACAAAGAGCTGTGGTCGCGCTCTTGACCGCTCGATTGAATCAACATTGATGGTTATTAGCTGCACCTCTTGGGTACCCTAGTATTGGTCCTCGACAAGAGCCCCGAGCCTACGGAGGAGTAGAATACTCCTTCTGAGGCTTTTTTCAACAGGGAGGACTTTGAGGGCCTTGGCCTTCTTTTTGTCGCCCACGGCATGTCCCGGATTGGTGATTCCCTCTCGTCGAGGTCGGACCCTTTGTGGGTATGGCCGTGAGATTTAGTAGGTTGGAAAAGGTCTTTCCTGATTTTTCGACCCCTGTGGGGGTCCGTCGTTCTATGACCGTGCATCCGGTCACCTTGTGAATCCAACTTTCCTCGAGCCCCCGCACGTAGCGGGGGTCCGGTCGAAGGTCGGCTTGCCTTTGTTATTATCACCCCGCCCATGGTTTCCACAACCGGAATGGTGAGCCGCGCCATGATTTTCATCTATAAACAAGTTGTGGTGCTCGATGAGTTGTTAGCTGGCTAGTTTGAGTGGCGTCCCGGCATCTCGTTCGTGAGGATCTAGCTTGGGTTAGTTTGGTGATCGACTCTAGATTCTTTGTGGTTGATCCATATTGTTCTTAGGTCCGTTCGACCGGCTCCGAGGGTTATGTGCCTTTCTTTGAGGAAAAACCACGGATCGTAACCGGCCGAGACTCAAACATGAGCCGGGATGCCCGTGGCGCTCGTGCGCCTAGGTTCTGGCCGCTAGCGGGCCCATCCCTTTCCACCTCTCACTCTAGAGGTGCCATGAGCGGTTGTTGAACCCATCGATGGGCCAACCTGCGGGCTCCTCGGCCCACTCGGGCTGTAGAGATGCTTTTAGATCCGTATTCCTCTTACCCGCGATGAGT